TGAAGTAAGAAATGGTACGTAATTTGTCCAAAAACCCATAAGTACAAGAGTCGTTCAGAGATGTAGTAAGCGCCTGTGCTTCTAAAGTATATTTAGTTTAAAGGTCAGAAGGATAGGCATGTTGCAAGATGGTGGTAAAATGAGGGTAGAGCACAGAAAGACTGGTCTTGCTGTGGCAATGCTTGCGGTTCATTTCTATGTTCATATAATCCACAACAGATAAAATATGGATAAGCACTTGTGCATTTTAATGTGATACTTCCAATTTTTTACACTCACAGGTTTTAAGGTGGTCATGTTTGCATATTAAATGCCTGTCAATTTCTAAACAAATGATCAGAAATTTAATATGTTTACAATTTGAATCCTGGGTTGAATGTTTGTGTCAGAGCCAGATCTGTGATGACTTCCATCACCCAGGCATGGATACTTTTTAGTCTTGCAAAGGGGTTTTCCTCCTGTCTGAACTGCTGCTGCAGGAAGTGAGGCTGTTGTTGACTGGAATCAATAAAGAACAGGAATAATTTGCCTCTACTGTATCTGAGGTTCTGTCTGTGCTTCTGTAAAAAGGGAACATGACATTCCTGTGGCTGTGGACCTATCTGCCTTTGTCTAATTCTGTCCATGGTGCTGAACAGTATAAAAGTAGGTCTACTATTGTGCTTCTCAGCTTTGAATCAGTGTGACTGACACTCTCTGTGGTGCTAGAATCACAGCATACAAATATGCAGTCTGTAACACAGCTAGTAAGTATATAATCTGTACATGTTCACATTACCAAGCCCTTTGAGGTAGAAAACTCAAGTCAAAAAGTTTTGTGATAAGGGATGTTGTGAAGCTCCACTGTGTCATGGTTCCAGCCAAGCACTCGCACACCAGGGCATCCTCGTGGGCCAATATGATCAAGTTCTCTGGGATGTCGTGGAAACTTTGAGGGCCCTCTCGGCCATAACACATAACCCGGATTGGTAAACAGGTTGACCAGGCTTCGACATATTTTACTCATCCTGCCCCTAGAGCCCAGCCTAACATCCCGGCTTCCCTGCCTTCTTTAGCCCCATTAGCTCACCTACTCAGAGAGCCTCACGCCCCAGCACCAGAGCAATATTCAGTGTTCCCTAGTGTTCAAACAACATCCACTAACCTACATCACAGATAAGTCTAAAATATCATAAATTATGGGGATACTTAATAGGAATGCTCTAGTCTGGGCATCAGCGGTGTGGCATAGTCAGTAACCAGTTAAGTCTTCTCTTGATAGGTTTGTCTCTGAGATGTCCAGCTTGTGGCAGAGATGCAGCTAAATGTATTCTGTCCCTCCATAGGGCTGCCACATAGTGTAGCATAACATTCAGTAGGTCTCTGAGGAATGTTTCAAACACCTTGTTGGAAGTATGCCACAAAGAATTAAGGCAGTTCTGAAGGCAAAAGGGGGTCCAACTACTAGCAAGGTGTACCTAATAAAGTAGCCAGTGAGAGTATATACAGAGGTATAAGCTATAATGAAGATCTGTACAATCTAATGCAATCGCATAAATTTGGTAGCATATCATGATACTTAGGTAGTCTGTCTTGTCTTGTCCTGTTTGTCCAAAGGAACAAAATGTGAAAAAACACTTGAATGAAATGTGAAAAGATTAGGATTTCACTCAAGTTTTGTTCTGTCTTCTACTGTGGGGAAAAAAACATTCATTCTGAACACCAGAATTTAATTTGGCAAAAAGGGAAAAATGAATTAAGGTGGAGTGGAAGCTCCACTCCCTTGCAGACAAATTTCAAAAGCAAAAAAGTTAGGTCAAAAACACGTCTGTGTTTTTATAGAAAAATCTTGTCAATTGTGTGACTATTACAGTAAGGATGTGACGGGTTTTAATATCAGAAAAGGATTGAAGATAAGTAATAGGTGGAGCTTTTCAATACAATTAAACTGAAATAATGAAATCCACTTACCTGCTGAATAACAGGGAAATTAGTCTATCACAACAAGCAAATGCTTATTTTATCATCTCATCTTTTAGAGTCAAGAGTGTCCATGTGACTGACATCCCTCACACCCAGTATAACAAAAGATTAAGGACAAGCATGCGTGCCAATGTTGAGGAACACAGCAGAACAAATTAATTATTGATGGGATGCTTTCAAAGCCCATGGCGTCACTAGGTCTCCATTGTTACTCAGTTGTTGTTTGCAGCTTTTAGTTGGCAGAGAGGATGGAGATGAGGCAGGCAGGAATAAAGACCATGAACTTAGCCTCTTTCGTCCCTCCCGTGAAGTGCATGCAAAGCTAATTTCTCTTTTTTAATATGATTCTTTCTGGATTTTATTCATCTAGCAACACTCCGGACACATTTGACCAGTGTTGCTAATATAAGGATAATGCTTGGTCCAGCGGTCTGTCTCACATATGCTCAGATGCTGAATGTTGCCAAGCATCATTAGTTAAAACGGATTTAAATAATTTATTCTTTTCACCTTGTGAGTCTGCGTGTGTGTGTTATCATGGCAAAATGTGATCCTGGAGACACCTACTGTAGCAGGAACAACCACAGAAGCAGCTTTTAGTACTTTGCCAGATGTTGACACATCTGTCTGTGTGTGGACTGATTTTGTCAACTGGATAGCATCACAACCTTGCATGATGCAGTCACGAAACAGGTTGATGTGGTTGGTGTGGTCTGAGCAAGGGCGCCAGAAGTGCACCACCACTTTACGCCTCTGGCCCACATTTGTCACAGAATTAGCTTTGCCAAGATGGCAAGATCCAGGCAGACAAAAAAGTAATTGTTGTCCAACATTCAATAGTCACGGTCTTGCCAAACAACTGATCATTTATCTCTTGCTAATAATGGCACATTCTGCAGTCACAACTAACAATTTTCAATGTACATTCCTTGTATTAAGCCAAGGAATATTTTAGCAAAAAAAATATCTCATAACTAACATTGGTTAAAATTTGACCATGCGAGGATGGTTAGGCATTTAATAAATCTCGCACAGTTCTCCTGTTCTCACTTTTCTCATGTCATGTGTTTCATTGCACCATATACTCTGATTTTGCATCATGGCTGGTCTGATCCCATCCCAAGATAGTCTCTAGTTAATGCCATATCCATAGGGAGATATAATGTCAACTGACTCTTATACTAAAGTGGCTGTTAAATTACAGCTGAGTTTATATCCGCTCAGGTCTAGTATACTTATCTGAAAAAGAAGCAGCCAGTGTCCCCTTTAAGGAATGGTTTCACAGCCAGGTACTGGGAAACAGCTCTAAAATACAGAGAAAATACCCTGTGTTGCATAGCAGGGGTGCTTTGGCCATGCGTGAACTGATGCTGATGACATTCACATGTAGCTGTGATGCCTGAGTGGCTTAAGGTGCTCTGAGGGTCTGTGCAGAGAAGCTTGAGGATGCAAGAAGGACAGAGACACATGTTAGCACTGCCAGACAAATACTTAAGTGGTCTTTTAACTGTTGTGGGCTATTAGTGAAAACTGAAATACACCCGTGATGAGTGTGTTAGATGATGTAGGCACATGAAATGTAATTTGGAGTTTTAATACCAGAGTTCTGTTACCGCTCGGATCTCTTCCATTTGTTGTAGTTTCATGTTATAATTCAGTTACTAATACATTACATACAGTATTTAGAGGTAACTAATCACAGGAGACCCAAAGCACATTAGTCCCTTTCAGGTGTCAGCAGTGATGTTGCAACACACATAGCAATACTTGAATGCCTGCATGTTGACAACAGTGGATTTGAAAAGTTGTCACATGAAATATTTACACTCCTTGTTTTCTAAGTTCCGTGTACTGTCTTGATTAGAATGCCACAGCAAATACCTAACGATCACAACCCTGATTAAGCATATAAAATTTCAAAAGGATAATATGCTTGTAATAGCTGATTTGGAGAATGTAATGGAACTTATTTTGTATTTGACATTGGACACTCACAAAACTGGTAATTAAAACATGAATTGATTGATTTGACCATATATCATGCTTAAGATATCTATTACTAAAGTTAGTAAAATAGGTAGGAAATTAGTAGTGGTAGTATTTGATCTGCAGCTGAATTCTGATTAGAACTTTGTCTTGTTGTCTTCCTCTCATTTCGCCTAAACGAATGAACCCCTAACCCTCACCTTCCCATGGATGAGCAGAGGCTAGTGTTAAGGAATCCATCCTCTTTGCTGTCCTCCCACAAACTTTAGTTAATTAATGTATACCATGGGAAGAGATTACAAATGAGCCCTATCATTCAGCTACTAAAACTGACTTAATTCATCATGAATTGATCCCAGAATATTTACGAAGGGCCAGGGATGCTGAATTCCCCTTATTATCAAATCTGTAAGAACAGCAATCTGATCTTCTCTGATTTTGGCATTACATTAAAAACAATAAGATGAAAATGGTGGATTGGACAAGATAGTGTTTTGCTCCTTTGAAATATTTGCTCTTCTTGCTTTTAAAACCTCAGCAAACTAAGACTAATTGTGCCTGAGACTCCCTTTAAAATCACAGGAGACAGACAAAAGATCACATAGCCTATGTATTAGACAACATACTCCAGTGCCTGCTTCCTGCAAAAGGCTGTGTGTGAATGTGTGCGTGTGTGGTGTGTGTCTGTCTGCAGTATCTGAAGCCCACAGTGCCATCAGGCTCTCAAAAGAGGAACTGCTTTCTCATAGATCCACTCCCTCCTGCTGTCCATCTCCACTCCGGTCCCAGAGACTTAAATCTGATTGTATTTCTGTATTTGTCAGCAGCTTGCCGGTGAAACATTTGCATGTTGCAAGGGTAATCTAAACTACTTTGCTTCAATTTATCCTCAGAAGACATTCCCTGTTTTGAAATGTGTCCGTGCGCCTGCGTGCGCGTAAACGTTCATGTGCGCGCGAGCAGAGGAGGCTGAAATCTGCACAGACAAATCTGGACAGATAAGGCTGGTTAACAAAACGCGGGCGTCTAAATAAATAAACAGACTTCATGCGAACAGTGATCAAACACATACGGGCAAACACACACACAAGCACACACAGTTTTACCACACACACACACACACACACACACACACACACACACGAGTAGGACACCGGACAGAGAGCGTTCCGCCGATCATCTCCGTCCCTCCCTCCAGCAAGCAGATTGCCTGTGCCTCTGACGACAGCCAGTCACACAGTGTTGAGTGTCAGGCTGTGGAGAGACTGCATCAAGGAGCGAGAACTGTTCGCTTGCATCGGGAACGGTGCGTGGGAGTTGTTCTGTCTCTACCTGCCATTTGCATTCCTTCTTTAATCTCGACACTCATTCTCGGACGACTTCGGGCGCACAGGGAGTCCCATTACCAAGGGAGGATCGGGCTTTGTGTGTGTGTGTGTGTGTGTGTGTGTGTGTGTGTGTGTGTGCCTGTTTTAACTGCAACTGTTATCTTAGAACCGCGGTAGCTTACTGCCGTTGTGGAAAAAGTCATTGGAAATCTATAAGGAACGGCTGGCTGTTGTCTTGTCTCCCCACCCTCTCGTTTTTTGTTTTTTTTTTTTTAACGCTGGCTCTCAAGGCGATGGACTTGAGATAGTGCGTCTCAATTTGAGTGTTGGTGGCTGGGAGTTGCCGTCGGGGAGAAATGCGAAAGGATGCTTGGCAGCAGTGAAGCCTACAGAAGGTGAGTATCCGATGAAGAAAGCAAAGACAGGTTCATTTTAAGGCAGATATGTGTTGTTGTTTTTTTGTTTGTTTGTTTGTTCTTTAACTGCTCTTGGTGTTCATTCTTATGTCGATGCAGCTTAACGTGGGCTGAGGCCAAGGTTTTAGAGAGATGGATATCCAGAATGCAGCTAAACCCGGGTCTCTCTGGGCTACTTTGAAGAAAACATCCCTCAAATATGTGAATTCAAGTCAGGGGCGACATCGGTTCATACTACAGGCTTTCCTAAAACTCCACGCATCTCAGCTCAGCTAAAATATTCCTGAAAGTCTGCGATTATTGGGGCACAATCGGTTCACAGGACAGGGAAGCAAACGGGGACTTGAGCGTGGTTATGCGCGTCCTCTGTAGGTAATCCACTCAGATTCGAAATTAATTTATAGATTTGTTATCCATGCACATTTCGACAGTGTAATCTCTTTTTCTGGTAATTTCTCAACGAACGTGTGCTTGTCTAGGAGGAGGGAGGCTTAAGCCATTAATCAAATGTAATTGTCCAGTGTGTGTGTGTGTGTGTGTGTGTGTGCGCGCGCGCGTGCGTGTGAGAGTGTGTGTGTGAGAGAGAGAGAGAAAAAGGAGGGTGGGGGTTGCAAAATGTTATCTTAATGTGGCCTTTATTTGGCCACCTATAGACTCTGTTGAGATAACATTTCTCATTGTGTGGAAGTGTGAGCCAGTCGTGATCTCCCCCATATGCAGTTTGTTCATCTACAAAGATGGCTATCTGTTAAATGGGCAGGGTATGAAAGCAAAGCAGGCTTCTGCTGCAGCGGAGTCCAGCATTTTATTGATCCTCAGAAACGACTTTGAAATTTGTATTTTCACCAAGACAACAGTCGTGGGATCTATATATAGCTTACACTGGGACTACACGGACACAGGATGAAACTTGTGTGTTCATGGAGCCACATGCCGTCTGTTGTTTGTTATTCAAGCTGCATTTGCAGAGAAAAATATATGACAGTGCACCCTGAATTTTTTTCTCCCTTTATTGTCCTGCACTGCCTCTTATAATAACACACCAAAACAGTTGCGCATGAGTATCAGAAGACTGTGTGATGCTGTGCCTGCAGACATTCATAAAGTGCTGTAGCTCTATTGGTTATAAATAGCTGGAGGGAGCGGACAGCCAGATAGAACACGGGCAGCCTCCCATAGCTCGAGCAGCAGCACCGCCTCTCTGGCTTTATCAGGGCTCACTATCCAACATGATAGCTAAATGATACACTTTGAGATTTCACAGATGCACGGGCAAAGGTGTGGCAAAGGGGGCTCTATAGGTGCATTATAGGCTATCCTGGGTTCTTTGTTTTACCTAGAGTGCATATGCTCTCCTTTAAAAAAATCCTTTTTTAGTTTCCCTCTGCTTGGTCTCTGACTGTGTGTGTGGCACTCAATAGTGCTTCCAGAGTGACCTTATCACCCCAAATGTTTTTTTAATCCCTTAAAGTGTGACTACATTCCTATGTGTTTGTTAATCTCCATTTAGGCCTACAGGTTTAAACCCCTATTTTTAACTGTTGATCACTTTGATGATTAGGATGTTACTGATTCAATTATGGCTACCTTGCAACAGCCAAGAGGCTCCTGAAGTGTGTGATCAGCTTTGTCCCGACATCCTGGCTGCTTTCATTAAACAAATGTGCGGCCACTGACCTTGGCTATCTATGAGTTGTCGATAGGATTCACCTCTTTGCCCTGCAAAAGGCTATAGGACATGTAACAAAGAACCCCCTCCCTTCTATGCTACAACATTATGCTGCTGTTGACATACTATATTGAATTACAACACGTTGATCAATGTTTGCAATAAGCTAAACCTCTACATAGTGGTTGATACAGAGTATCAGATGTCGCAGGAAAATCATGCTTCTCAGAGCAGCATTATATTTCCATGAAGTATGGTTACATCTTGCCATGTTTGCCGTTTAATCACATTGAAATAAAAGAATGGAATAGCAAACCAATAAGAACAGAATATGAGCACATGTTGCATTTTAATCATTTGTGAAAGAAATCAGTTTCAGCATAGATTTTTCAGCAGATTGGGGCAGAGGAGCAGTCGAGACAGAGTGGGTGGTGTGGATCATGATGTTAGTGAATGATGACTGATCACAGGCTTGCCTTCTCACAACACTAAATGACCAATAGTGTTTGCTAAGCGGGCTAATGCTGGCTTATGACGTGTTAGCATGTATCTTGGAGACGCTCATCCTGGGTGTAAAGCTGACACCTACTGCATTGACAAGGTGTTTATTAGCTCCCAGTTGTAAGGCCATGATGCCTAAACAATGCTATGATGACACACGCTGAGGGTTTTCACCCGGGACGGCAATTATGTTGTTTTTATAAGATCTGGCTGCCATTCCACTTGATGCCACTGCCTTGATACATCAATGCCCGAGGGTTGATGGCATATTTATAAAAGGCCCGCGGTGGGATCATAGTAGCTGTGTGATAGGTGGGGGAGTAAGGTTCTTGTTCACAAGTCACTTGTCCATGGTGGATGTCTTTTGAAGTAAATAAGAAAGAGCAGCTTCAAGTGTTGTCTAAAAGTCATCAGTGTTTGTTGGTCTTTCTTTCAAAGCTTCAGCAGCGCGATCCCTTTGAGCGTAAGATTATTCATTTATTGTGAAAACAGCAACATTGCACAGCTCCTTAACAGCAAATATTTATTTCACTTGTTTTCTTTTTTTCTAACCTGCCCAAATTGAGTGTAACGTATGAAACCCTATGTGATTGTTTCTTATAATATACCAGCTGGTTGTCATGCATGGGACATGTCTCTGCACAAAAATACTCTATTGGGCAGAATTATGTCCAGCAAAATGTGGTTTTGTTCTTTTCTACAGTGTCCATGGTAGAAGGGCTACTATTCATACTGTTTTCACAGTGGCTTAATGTTTTGCAGGCCTTTGGGTGAATCACGCTGCTTTAATAAAGCTCTGTTGAATATCTATGAATTCATCCTGTGTTCCATCAGGTAATGCTGCATTGCATAGACATGCATCTGGGAATGCAACCTATGTGTTGATTTCCACATCAACATGTCATTTCTGAAATCAAACTTATGATTGAATTGCCCTTAATCTTGTGATGTTGGACATAATTATTGTATACACTAATCCAGAATTTACACAAAATTGGTAACCTTGTATTTCTCACATCAGTGATACCAAGGTCAAAGCCACATAAAGTAATGAACTGCTACAGAAAATCCCCATCCTGTTAACTTGGTTTTTATTTTAAGCTGTATGTTTAAGCTGCTATATAACAGGTCTTCCAGGCCTCATTGTAATCAATGGCAGCAATGCTAAGAAAAAAAACCCCAAAAATATCTGAAAAGATCAATTATGATTATAACTATATTAGTATTTGAATGAATTATTTTAATTGGAGTAGAGCCTTGTTAAGGCTCGTGCAGACTACACGACTTTCAGCGTCAGCCGATGGCAGTGCTGTTCACACTACACAACTTGCCGACTTGTGACGGTATCTTGAAGTCATTGTGGCGTTCACACTACGTGAGTGATCAGTGACACGGAGTCACACACTACATGAGCTGACAGCGGCTCTGTCACCCGACGGCTGGTCTCTAAACCACATTTTGTCAAAACAGCTGTTTTTTGTTATAAAGGCAAACAACATGGATGAAATAATGGATTAACAAAGGGAATTGTCTGAGCTACAGAAAGAGCTGGAGATGAGTAAAATGTGTTTTGCGGTCAAAAAGTAGCTGCCTTCTCTGCCAGCTGCCTGCTCTCATTGGCTGGATGCGGATGTCGAGTCGGCCGACTCCTCCAGATATTTGGCATGCTAGATATCTGACTGGTGTCTGCGATGTGTCAGCGGTGTGTCAGGGAACCGTTTTGATGCGTCGTTGAGTAGTTCACACAGAACGACTGGCGACTGCTGATCGATCGCCAATTTACCCCTGATCACAGCCTGATTGTCACCGAGCTCTCCTACCAGCAAATCAAGTTAAAAATCATGTAGTGTGAACTAGGCTTTAGGGGCATGTCTAAATGCATTCACATTATCCTGTAGGGTCCATTCACCTTGAAAGGATTCATGTTAGAAAAGCTCATCCAAGTGCAGCTAATTCTTCACAATGTTGTGAAAAATGTCTTTAGAGAATATCTGCAAAGGTGCCCCGAGAGAGTGATTTCACCTTTTGTGCTTGTGTGAAAAATCAAGGTGTCCACAAAAAAAGACTGGATTACCACATGTTTTCAAATGTCAACAGCCAGCAGAAATGGATTGGTGGCTAGAGTGTGCTTAGACTACTGCACCTCCACTGGCCTTGACCCTATTCCATCTACATGTCTCGGCCATTGTGATTACTCATAAATTTTCTCTGAAAATCGTTTTAATTAATTTATTTCCTGTTTATGAATCGTAACTGGATTTTGTCTGTGATATTCTATTGCATATAAACTGAATATATGTGTGTTGTATTTGTCTGTTTGTGTTTATTGTTGTAACCATATTTATGTTGTGATCTTGGCCAGGACACTCTTGAAATAATTTTTAATCTCAATAAGACTTTTACCTAATTAAATAAAGGATATAAATACACACATACACACAAGTAAATACAGCATCCATATAGATTCAATAAAATTATATTTTAATCCATTTATATTAAATAGATGCAAAATCCTAATTATTGCCACGGTTGAAATAACATCCTGCCAGTTGCTTGGAGGATGCATTTTTAAAAAAGGCATTGATGGTGGACGAGGTTTGGGTCAAAGGTTTGGGGGGTGTTATTGTGCTCCTCACGAACCCAGAGGGTTCTATTCACTGCATAGGGACTAATCAGGGCCTATGCTGGCACCCCTGTTGCCAGGCAAACTTAAACTTAGACACCCACCTTTTAGATGATTATGTGAATGACACACATGTCACTCTACTAAGCTGCTAGTGGGCTGTAAATTACATTTGCTGAGGCAGGC